GACAGATCATGCCTTCCAGCCTGCCAGCCACTGCCAAATGCACCTGAATACAGCAGAACAAGGCTCATCCTAGATTGGCTGCCCAGAACACCCCCCTAAACCCTTGTGGTCCCCCAACAGGGGGAAACAGTCCCTCTAGCCAGGGATTGGCCAGGTCCCCCAACCTCAAAGGGGATTCCCCACCCCTGGCAGGGTCCCCCAAGTCCAGCCTCTGGTGCAGAGAATGGTTCCCCCCCTATTACCAGGCTTGATATTAGACTTTAGGGTAGGGGAAACCCACCCATCCAGCTTGGCACTGGACCCCCAGCCAGGTGCTGCCTGGCTTGGTGGGGAGGGAGTGAAAGCCTCAGTGGGGGCTTGGCTCCACCCACCCGGAGCCAGGAGTCAGGCTGGTTCCAAGCCAGCTGAGGAGAGGGTTTGAGGGGGAACCCCCCCCCAGTCCAGTGCTGGACCTCCAGTCAGGTGCAGCCCAGGATGGAGGGATGGGAGGGTTTGACTTCACCCACCCAGAGCTGGCTGAGGAGAGGGCGTGGCTGCAGGACTCCATCCCAGCTCCTGGCTCCTGACTTCAGGTAGGGGAAAGTCAAGCCTCCACTGTGGGCTTCCTCCTCTGCCTCCCCCATGCCAGGCTGCACCTGGATGGGGGTCCAGTGCCAGGCGAGAGAGCTTGATTTCCATCCCCAGCCTCTCCTCAGCCAGCTCAGAGGCTGAGGAGGGGCATGGCTGGGGGACTCCAGCCCAGTTCCCAGCTCCAGGTGGGTGGAGTCAAGCCCCCATTGTAGACTTCTCCCCCACCCCCAGGCTGGTGGTCCAGTGCTGGGTGAGGAGCATCCCCTCCTCCCACCCCCTCCTCAGCCAGCCGGTGCTCTGGCTAGGGACCAGAGGCACAGGACAGGACCTGCTCTGCTGGTTGCACAACCCAGGACTACAAAGCACCCTGGGATTCTGGGGGACTGTGAATTAACCTGAACTGGGAGGGGATCTAGGACAGAAGTTCTATAAACTGGTTTGACTTAAATCAATTAAGTCTGATACTACATCCAACCAGGTTTATCTTAAACCACTTTTAACCATTTTGCAAGTGATTTAAGTGCACTGAACTTCTGTTCTGTTACAGGTTTAAACCAGTTTCTAATCACATGTGTAACTTCTGTCCCTACCCCTATAGACACATACATCCTCTGTCTCTCACTAAAATGGTAGCATATATAGCAGAGATGATAATGGGGTAGAAAGCTTAGAAGTGCTCAGTGAAAATATGTCAAGGAGAGCCAAATCAAACAAAACTATCTGGTGGTAGATAAATACTATTTTATAAGACTCTAATGAAAGGCATGTTTCCTCTTATCCAATTTAAAAGCATTTACCTTCAAATTCTTGCCTGAAATCTCTACCTTCATAAATGATAGCCATTGTTCATCTATCCTTTGTTTAAAAAAACTAGTATTACTGTTTTGAACCTTTCAGCAATACCAGTTGATTGAGCAAATTGAGTCTGCTGAAAAATACACAATTTTTGTCCCAGGAAATAATTCAATTGAAGAATATTGCCATGCTGCCAACATTACACAATTGGTAAGATTGTGGTTTATATATTGTTGGGCTGTCCAATTCATAAGCAGCTGTGCCATGCTACTCAGGCACCACCCCACTGTGCAGAGGCACAAACCCCCCACTCCCTGAATTGTGGGCCCCTTTGGCCCAATAGGTTATGCCACCCCATGTCACTCTCAGTTGTAGGGGCAGGAAGCAGAAGCTACAGGAGGGAGGGAGAACTCAGAGACCCAGAGGCAGTAGCAGCTGGAGTGATGCAGACAACAGGGGCTGGGTGGGAGTCTTCAGGCCTCAAGATAAACAGCTCTCATTTACAGTATCACTGTATTGTATCTAGACCACAGATGACAAACCCAAATCTCAAGTAAGTAATGTTTAGTAAAATGTGATTACAGTAGAACAGTTTTGATTAGTGGCTAAGCATGAATCTCTGGAATTCAAGAGCTGCAGCTAGAGAGTTTTTGATCACGGAGAAAGGGAACTGTAACAGAAAAAGCTGAGGAGTGGAAGAAGAATTTGACAGCATGGAGCATGGCAGGAAAGAACCATGTCAGGAAGAAGTGAGAGGAAGGGTGTCCTTGGGATTTGCAAAAATATCAGAAGCTGAAATTTAGATAACCACTGCTCTGTAGGGTTTGTTAGCTTCAGTATATGGACTCCATACATAAAATGAAAATTAGGTTTGCATGCAGAGAGAAAACAATTTTTCAATTCATCAACAGTGATCATGATTTTTTAGTTGTCCCAGCCTTTAAAAGGGCTTCCAACACCTCTGTGGCTTTATGCAGTTTTACAGAATTATTAGGCTTAGTTGATTATTGACTATAGCCAGAGGTAATTAAAAGCACTATCTGCCATGTACTTACCTCAAGCTACCCAGGGTAGGGACACCCAGGCCTAGGGTTAGTGAGGACCTAGTCAGGGAACTTCTGGAGGGACTGGACATATTTAAATCAGCTGGTCCTAACGATCTCCACCCCAGAGTGCTGAGGGAATTAGCAGAGGTCATTGTGGAACCCCGGCACAGCTTTACGAGCACTCGTGGTGCTCTGGTGTGGTGCCAGAGGACTGGAAAAGGGCCAACATGGTTCCCATTTTCAAAAAAGGGAGGAAGGAGGACCCGGGAAACTATAGGCCAGTTAGTCTTACCTCAGTCCTGGGTAAGCTTTTTGAGAGAATTATTCTGGCACATATCCACGAGGGGCCAGCGGGGGAGCTTATGCTTAGGGGCAACCAACACAGGTTCATTAGAGGCAGGTCCTGTCAGACCAACCTGGTGGCCTTC